AATCAAGAAAAAAAAAAAAAAAGAATAATGGCATCAGGCTCCTTGGATTTCTACAGATCTCAGTGTCCCTGTCTGCATAAATTGAGAGCAATTACTTCATAAGAATATTTAGATGATTAAAGGAAATGAAGTATCCCATCTACTACAACATCTTCTGAACACAGTGAAAAACAAAACAAAAACCTCCTCCTATACTGGATACAAGTAAGTCCTTTAGATCCAATTGAGCTTTTTTTTTCCCCCTACAGAACTTGCAAGCTTGTAACTGGATGATTCTGCTATTTTTGTACTTTTAACAACTACTTTCTGCATCCATACATGGTGTGCCCTTAGGTTATGTGAGCTTTCCATTTTAGGTTCTCTGCTATGGGAGCATGCAGTGGTTTTGACTGTTTCATATTCAGGGTAGGATTATTTCACTCTAAAAGTGGAATTCAGGGCCACTGCCAAACCAGCAGGTGGGTTTCCAGGGAGTGGACTTAGATTCCACCACAGGGGGCCCGGGTGGGAACCATTCTTGGCTCCCACTGAATTCCTTACAACAGAACACAACACCCTCTCAGCCAGATCCCTTGCCAAGTCAAAGGCCTGTTCTTATTCTAGAGCTCTCACTAGAACAATAAAAGGCTTCCTTTTCTTAAAAGCCTGTTTTACATTTCTCCTGGATCCACTCCCCTTCCTTTCCCCTCCAGCAAGCCCATTCCTTCTGGCTCTTTACAGCCTGGGATACCCTTCCTTCTTTCTCTGTCCACTAATCCTAGTTCAAGTGCAGCCACCTTCTAGGGGCCTCTCACTCATCCCTGCAGGATGAGGTACAAGCCTCTCCTATCTCCCCACATCTATCTCTACAAACCTCCAGCCAGACCTCCCACTCACTTACTCACAGCTATGGCTCACTCACTAACCTCTAACTTCTGGAGACAAGGGGCTGTTCACAAGCTACCAACCTGGCTGCTAACAATGCTCACCTGACAGATCATTTCCTAGGCACAGTCTTACAGCCTTGACACCTCTCTCAGAAATGAGGAAGCTGTGGCTCAGGGCACTGGATAAGCTTCCCAAGGTCCTAGACCTAATAAAAACTGGTGATGTGGGAGGCCTTGCTAGCCAAAACCAGGCCAGTGTCTGCATAAGTCAGAAGCCCAGAGCTTGACCTTCAGGATGGCTCGGCTTGCAAAGGAACCTGGCAACCTGAGCTCAGTTTCTGGGACCTACATGGTAGAAGGAGAAAGCTAAGTCCCACAGGTGTCCTCTGAGTCACACACATGCTATGGCACGAGTGCAACCTCAACACACATGTGCACAAATTAATAAATGTAATAAAATGTAATAAAAAGAAGCTCAGAGGGCTCAGTGGTTAAGAGCACTGTCTGCTCTTTCAGAGGTCCTGAGTTCAAATCCCAGCAACCACAGGGTGGCTCACAACCATCTGTAATGGGATCTGATGCCCTCTTCTGCTGTGTGTCTGAAGACAGCTACAGTGTACTCATATACATAAAATAAATAAATAATTATTGAAGGAGGAGGAGGAAGAGGAAGAGAAGGAAAAGGAGCAGCAGCACCAACAGCAGTAGCAGCTCAGAGCTTGCTGTAAAAAGATTTCCTTGAAAACTGGAGGCAAAAGAATGTAAAGCAAAAGCCGGGCGGTGGTGGTGCACGCCTTTAATCCCAGCATTTGGGAGGCAGAGACAGGTGGATTTCTGAGTTCGAGGCCAGCCTGGTCTACAGAGTGAGTTCCAGGACAGCCAGAACTACACAGAGAAACCCTGTCTCGAAAAACAAAACAAAACAAAAAACAAGAATGTAAAGCAAAAACACAAATTAAGATCAGTCTTGGGAGAAGAAAAGTTCCATAGCCATCACTCCCCCGGCCAAATGCTGGGCTTGCCACTCAGCACAGCCTCCAGTAAGCCCTTGGCTGACTGAGTCTCTACTATGGCGTCTTCAAGCATGGAAAAGAACTGATACAAAAAGGAAATGGAAATCCACACAGTGGAGTCCAGGCAACCAAGAAATGCCTCAGACTCACTCTTGAGATTAAATTCAAAAGTTTATCTCAAAAACATATCTCACTCAAGTTTAAACAAGTTTAAAGAATAGAATAGTTAATTTGGAGGGATACATAGGATGCAAAGGTACACATTCCAATTTAAAAAAAAAAAAATGGTGGAGAGCGGCACAGAGGCAGGAGGATCTGTGAGTTCCAGGCCAGCCTGGTCTACACAGAAAAACCCTGCCTTAAAAAAACAACAACAACAAAAACAAAACAACAAAGCTTTGATGACAGCAGTCTCCACTTCCTGTCTGCTCTGCCTTCATTACAAGTTCACATGTGCACAGTCAGGCTGGACCCACAACCAGCCAGCCTGGCAGTGTGACAAAAGTCACCACCGCTAAGAGGAAGGGAAATGTCTACCATCAAGTGCCAGGCAGTCTGA